ATTTTAAAATCCCTTAAAAGGTGCACATTTTGTTATCAGTTAATAACAGTAACTACATTCAAGGAAATTATCCATTTTTAATTATTCATTTTTTAATTTTATTTTTCGTCCTATTTAGAATAAATATTTACAATATTTTAATTTAAAGAAATGCTATAAGTTGATATATTAAATGTTATAGAATGAAAATCAAACTCTTATGCCATAACTTGAGAATGTGACTACATAATATGCTATATACCTAATTTACACTTTTTCTGCTGGGTTGGGTCAAGTTGGATGGGAATTTAGTTGGAAAGTTATGGGCTGTCTACAATAGAGAAAGATGGCCCAAGTAAATATTGTCCAAGCGTTAAACAAGATGAATAATACGAATCAATTATTGAACCTCTTAATCTTGACGAAATAAAATACTTAAACTACTTAAAAACTAGATAATTTAAAATATAGTCTATCATGAAACTAAAATAGTTGACAAACTCTAAACAAAACTAATTTTTTTTAAAAACAATTTTGAATACTCATAAAAATGTTAATTATGTATAATTTCGTAACTACGTGAATCATATGTATTTCCTAAAATTATTTTAAAAAAAAGTAACGGTAAGATAAATTTAGAATAACTCAAAAAAAATTTAAACTTTATAAAATTGAATTATTTCAAAATCGTTCAGAATTAAGAAATTTCTTAATTAATTCCTATCGGGGAGGGTCAAAATTGGGTGTCAACAATGGCAAAGGTCGGCTTGTTAAATTTGGGCTAATATTCACAAAGGAAAGGGTGGAAGACCCAAAACCTTAGACTTTTATTTATCCACATAGGAAGGAAAAAAGGCCTAAACCCAACATACATGATTTAGAAGAAATATTGTTCCTTGAAATCATGTGAATATATAATAGGAATTCTCGTGAAAGATACTTTATATAGTTTGGCTTCAATGAGGGCTTCACCCATCAGGTGAAAAATTAAATTAAAGAAAACTTGCTCCATTGACCACACATCATTGTAGAGCATCACTTGGTAAGAAGTTTATTGGAGTCTCACTAGGTGAAACTTATGAATGATAACACAATTTTAGACAAGAGAATTGGTTTTCGGATTTCATTTATAATATTTATTTTTCTAATTTTATTATGTATTTTTACAAGAAGTTTTTTTTTTAGATACTTATTTGTAAGTGGACAAGAGATATTAGTTTTTGACTTGTGTTCCTAACCCAATAGCCCACATTTAGGGATGATAATAAGACAGTATGGGACAAAAATAAGATAGATTAGGCTAAACTCACAAAAATTAAAATTCATTTCACTCCTCCTCACATGATAATTTTTTCTATCTTTTAACCCGCCTCACCCTGCCCATATATTCTATATCAATAGTATCAGTAGTCTTTGCACAAATTCTAACAACATAATGTTGATGGTTGGAGAAAAGGTAACCTGACATTGCAAGAGGAGGTGCCTTAGATCACGATTTTTTTTGCCTATTTTGATAATTGTAGTTACATAAACATCATTTTTAATGGTAATAGTTTAATTATTGATAATATATATTTTTAAAAGAAATTAATATTTTTGATAAATGTCCATAAAATATGTAACTATAATGAATATAAAGACAATTTACTAATGTCGATAAAGACATTAGTACTTTTTGTTAGAGTGAATTTTCATTGGCGCTAAAAGTTGTTTTTATCGTAAGTGGTGCCTTAATCATGTGTTATGCCTCGTATTTTTTTTTATACGTAGTGCGCATCGTGATCTAGAAGACGTAAAGAAATATTAGGCAAGGATGTTATTTTCAAATGTGATATTAAGTATGAGTTGGTTAATGTAAGTGCCATTAACTTTAAGTGAGGGATTAATTAGTGGCTAATTTGGATTGATTTAATCCAATGGGCCCCACCACTCAAGGCAAAAATTAAAAAGGGATCAGATTGTGGGCTGGCCTTAGTGGTCAGGTGTAGAGGGGGGCTGCCTCCACTTCATACTATTAAATGAGGTGGAGAAATCCACTCCATGCCAT